CATGTCAAATTATTTCATTACAATTACGATGTATATATCGTATGAAACAAAAATTTATATTATTCTTTAATAATTTTCCCATTTCTACATTTTAAAACATAAGCATCTATATTTCCAAAATACTTCTTTGCATTCTCCAGATATTCCTCTTTCTCCATGCTCTATAAAACAAATTAATTCCTCCTCGTTATTAAGATTTGATTTCTGACAAAATCTTCTATTTTCAATGTGATGATAAGGGCTATATAGTTGTAAATATTTTATTGTATTTTATCCATTCTAAATTGTATGGTTATGATGAAATCAAACATTATCCATCATAAAAATCATATTCATGTATTAATTTCTTCAAAGATTTGGTATTTCATTTACAAAGTAGCTAAAGTGTACCTTGCAGGGGTGATCAAGAACCTCAAATCTGAATATGCAATCGGTTGAGAGTAGCAATGATAGTATAATTCATTGTTTTTATCCCTTGGACGTGTTTAATAGCCTTTTTATTTTACTTACGAATATCCATATAACCGCCTTCATCGATAAAATAAATTTTTCTTTCATATAAGATTCATAAACCAATTTTCGTATTTTTGAGGGGAGCTCATGGCCAAACCTTTTTATCATCTATTTGCCAATAGAGGAATGTTTAAAAACACTAAATATGATACCCTAGTATAAGGCCACGGCAAAATCTACTAAAGGTATACCAAAAGGTGTATAAGGGGGCCTATAAACTATTATAAAAGAAACTTGACCTTCGAAAATGAAAAACAATATGACAACCCTGAGTTGAATAAATAGTAATAAGTATTTATATCAGAGACCTCGGCCCAGATCCAGACCAGTAAACCAAGCAAAATCCTCATTTAAAAGGAGCGGACTTAAAAATTTTAGAAAAATTAAAAATCCGGGTTGGTCCGATTTAAAATATTTTTATCTATTAATCGGTTAGGAAATGCTAGAAAATAATAGTTGTTTGTATATAGATACAAAAATGTGGCATCTGCATCTAATAAAATATCATATCTCTATACATTTTAAAGGTATCATTTTGATAAGAATTTATTTGGTTTTATAAAAAAATAATATTTTAATTCAAATCATTAAATAATAAATTCGAGTTTATTTTATTACAAAACAAACCAGACTAATCTTATTATACGCAACTCGACAACATGGTAAATTTTAGTTAATGAACTATTAAAGTTTCCAACTGATTGTAAACATAGAACCTCTGAAAAAAAAATAAAAAATAATTTAATATATTTTTTAAACACCCCATAAAAGATAAATAATGATTTTTTTCTTAGTTTCGGAATTTAACTAAAATATTATCTCAATATAAAGTTGTTATTCATACACTACTCTGAGGTCAAGTGCCCTAGTAAAAAGACTTTTTAGTGTCGTTAAATCTATTATTCAAATCTAACAATTATTATTTATTAATATTTTGTTTATATATATTTTATCATTTAAAATTTAATTTAATAATATATTTTGTATATATGTTATTGATATTTATTGTTTAGTATTTAATTATATCAGAGTTACTAAGGAGCTGCTACGCTTTTTAAAAAAAAAATCAGGAGCGGGAGCTATTCCTTTTAGGGCTGGAGGGGAGGAGCTCTGCTCCACCCCACTTTTAAATTTAATGTATTAAATTATTTTTTAAATATTAATAAATCTATTTATTTGTTAATTTAAATTCGATAAAATGAAATTTTATTTTATTTAAATTTATGCAATATTAAATGTTGAGCCGAGTTTTGTATTGGTTTTTCATCTAATCAAATATTAAACATTAAGTTTTTCTTTTTTTTTATATTGAAAATTTCTTGGAAAATCTTGAAATCATATTAATAAATGTTCATTTTATAGATATATGATAAAAAATAGTTTTTGATATCATGGATCCTGACGAAGAAATCGAATTCCCATTCCATCATGCAAAAAATATTTTTATCTTTTAAAAGAGATAAAATCCTTGAAGGGGATTCTAAACTTACTTCAAAAATAAATGACTTGGCAGATTTAGAGTTTTGCCAGAGCCTCTTATAAGCGGTATGATAAAGGGTTTATAATAAAAAATAAATTATCTATTTAAATAACTTTATTGCAGATTTTCAAATATTTATAATGATGAAAATATCATTGCGGCTATTATCCATCCTGCATTCAAATTAAATTGGGAATGGATAAAAAAAATGCAAAATATGGAACTAAAATACAAATTAATTAATTTTCCAAGAAAACAAATTCTTGATGCAAAAATATCGACTAGTTCATGGGAACCTTGTAATGATTTGGAAGATTTTTTTAGATTCCATGAAATTGATCATCAAGAAGATAATTGGACAAATATTTTTTAAATAGATATCAAAATCACTATTTTTGATAAATTTACTGAATTAAAAAAATATTTTTATAAAATGCAATACCCCGCTTCCCTCTACTCCTATTGCTCCTATTTAGTATTGCTAAACAGGTTTTAGTGGAGAGGCGTGGATTGTTAGATTCAAATTTAGAAAATTTATTATTTTTACAAGCTAATAAAAGATTATAAACATTTTAATATATCATTTTTAATTAAATAAAACTTTTTTGATAAATAAAAATGATTTTGTTTCGTGTACTTTCTAAAAAAAAATGAAAATCAAAGGAGCAGCTGTGGAGTGACACTCCATTACTTGAAGCGGGAGCTAGCTCCTTTTAAAAAATTTGGTAGCGGGAGCTAGATACAAGAGCGTTAACAACTCTGAATTATATATTTTGTATATAATAAATATCAACTCAATTTTTCTAGCTCGCTTCTTCAATTTTTGAATATTAATAAAAGAATCCTAACTTGGGGTATTATGCAAAACCTTACATAATTATAATAAAAATATATCCCATAATATATTTAGGCGATGTGGCAGTATAAAGATTTTAAAAAGTATCTTTTAATTTCTGAAAATAATATAATGTTTATTATTCATTTACTGTTCATAAGTCAATTTCCCTTTGCAATTTGTAAAAATAAAAATACTGGACGAAAAAAAAATTTTGAAAAATCCCGGGCCGGATTTGAAGTTAAAATAAAGTTCGAATCCAAGCCGAGGCTAAAATTTCAACTTCTAAGATCTTCCATTTTTAGTAAAAAATTAATAGATTTAAAAGCTGTAAATTAAAAGGTATAAACGGTAAGATAAAATAAAAAAGAATAATTTTTGAGGAACGTTATTTTTGACAGGGGAAATGGGGGTGGTGAGGGAAGGGCTAAAAATTCTCACAATATTACCCCAATACAAATAAAAGGTAAGGACTCGTTTGCAATTTAAGCGGCATTATAGCGAGAAATAGGAATCGCAATGCTGTACTAAAGAAATGATACAGTTTTCTGTAATATCGTTTAGCGAATTGCATTTTTTATATAAATAATGAGGCTTAAGATTATAATAGATTTAACCCCCCCCCACCACCTTGCCCATGAGAGAGGGACTTATTTATAATATAAATCGCATAATAAATATTAATTTAGTTTAGTTTAGTGTCAATCTAGTTGAGTGTTTTCTAGGAAAAAAAATAGGGACGGATGGCTATAAATTTTGAGTTTTCGCATTTGGAGTTTAAAATTTTTTTTTACATTTTTCATATTTTTTTTTTACCTTTGTATTTTTTTACTATTAAAAATAAGTATAAATGTTAAAACTAAAACTTGAATTAATTAAATGACCGGTTCTGTTTAATTTCAATAATAAATCTATATTTTTGCTTTAAATGTCACATTATTTATTTAAAATAGATACAAATTATAATATAATTTATAAGCTAAAAAAACTACTTTAAAAAGACATTTTTTAAATAGACATTCTTCTTTAGAAATACAAGTTTTAAAAGGATAAAAAAATTAACATATGAGTAATAGCGCGCCTGCGAAGGTTTCAAATTTTTTCCCGATATATAAATTCTTTTATATATTGATTTCTTTTAACCCTTTTAGTGTTTTTGCAGACTAAAGATAAAAGAAACTTGAAATAGATAAGATGGATAACTGATCCGTCTAATTATACCATTTTAATTAATGTCTATAATATAACATATATTATATTTATTATATTTATGAAGACCCGGCATTTACGAAGTATTATTCCATTCAATGAAATAATATAATTTGGTATAAATAAGGAGCCCCAGTAATAGTAATTTTTGTTTATGAACGTTCCTAAAATTAATCCCCAAGTTCCGTTTGAAACGGGTCTGGACTGGAGTGTTCCATTCCTTAAGATATCTAAATACAATACTGATAAATCAACCTTAACAACTAGCCCTTGTATATAAAATTTAATTAAATAATGTAAAATAAATAAATTTCCTTGTTTTGAAGTTAAAAAAATAATATAGTCGGCGAATAATGAATTTAGCGCACATTATGTTACGCGTTAATTGTGAATGAACTGATATATTTTGTTATATAAAAATTAATGATGGCATTCACCATAACTATTTTTTTATCTTTTCAGGAAGAAGTTATAACTTTTCATTTCAATTATTATACATTTAATTCTTATTTTATTTTAAAGTGATTTTACGATTAAAAATTTATTGATCTATATATATTTTTCCAATCAAATACAGTTGCCATCAATTAATTTAATTTGCAAATAAATTTATGATAAAAGCTACTCTTTTAGTCGTTATTATCATGCATTAAAATTGTATGTTATTTTTTTTTAAATATTAATTTCATTCCCTCTCCCCAAATTCAGGAAAATTAATTTTATAAATTAGGCGAACTATATTTTTATTTTAATGAAATTTTAGAGAATTAATTATAATGTATAAAATATGCCTATATTTATGATTTTTTTATTGACATGATGATAATTAACATTTTTGCATTCATTGGTCTCCTATACGTATAGATGTAAAATTGCCAAAATAAGTGAAAAATTAAATTTTAGTAATTTTCCATTTTATAATCAATAAAAAAAACGTTGAGAGAGAATTAAATATATATATATTCATAGTTCCTCCCAACATTTTGAGGGGTTTAGGATGATAGCTCTTACCAATTTCCAAGTTTCTCTGGCTGCATAATTTAGGTTGAATGGATGATGATCTTTTAACAGGTCAACGGCAGGGAGAAAATAATGAGGACATTTTTTGCATTGTAAGCAGGATATTAATTGCAATAGTATACCTGTTAATCTAATATTTTTGTTATAATATTATTTTAAATGGAAATTGGGTAACAAATAAGATTCGCGTTGGTAACCGACAATTCTGCAACCCCAAATGACTGTATTATCATCCCTCCCTCCTTCCAAATGGAAAAATTAGCAAAATAAAGAGAATCAAAGCGCTACCCCTTTAATATTTTATTCAGGTGAAAATAGTGTCGTTACAACCCCTTCTTAAATTTTAATAACGATCATTTAAACCCCTCTCCCCCTGGGTAAAGTGACTTGTAGGGAGGACCGGGGAACTTAGGCCGCTTTTCGTTCAAATCTATAAATTTTATCATTTTAAATAAATATGAAGAAATAATAAAAAATCTGAATGCTATAGTTAAAATAGTTAATGGATATTTTTTTAGAAATGTAACTTATTTTTAAAAAATTTTTTAAAAACGTTACTTTTAAATTATTATATTTTTACCCAATATATCTTAAATATATTTGCTATTTACTACTATCATAAAATATATCGGAAATAAGGAGATTTCTATCCCTCTCTCTAAGGGACGCATAAATTTGAAATTAAAAAAAATGTGGAGAGAGGGGGGGGGGGTGGCTTAATTTACCTTGGACCTCGCGAGCATGCTCTCTAATTTTATAAATGCAATTCAAATACATTTCTTTTTAATCCTGAAAAGTAGTCAGATTTAAGAAAATAGGAGAAATATATTTGAAGACATACAGACTGGCGGACCAAAAAATGATATGACTTCCAAAAATCCAGGCAAGGCTTATAATTTTTTTTTTCTTGTAAATATTTAAATGCATTTTTTCAAATCTTTTCTAGATAATGATGTATGACATAATTTGGTCTGAGTTCCCAATCTATCCGTGTCTTCCTTATATAAAATTTACGATTTTCTGTAATCACGCAGTTAGTCACACGATAATTATATAATCTTTCTCTAAATAATCATTATCTAAATTTTTTTTGAAAATATATAAAACACAATGTGTTTGGTTCGTTCCAAAACTTGTAATTTATAAACTTTAATATTAATTATTGTATGCACAAAAAAATTTTTTAAAGAAATTTTCAAAGAGGGGAATTAGAATATCAACATTTTTTTTTAAATATATAAAACACAATGTGTTTGGTTCGTTCCAAAACTTTTAATTTATAGTAGTGATCTGCATCGGGCGTAATTTTTCCCGGCCCGAATATTTTTAAAAATTTTGCCGGCCCGGCCCCACTCTAAATTTTTTTTAAGAAAATTTACCAGCCCGGCCCGAACTTATTTAATTATAGAAATTTATAATTTCTCAAAATAAATGGCATATGTTATATTGCGTCGTTCTATAAATAAAATCAAATATTTTAAAAAGATTCAATATAAAATTGATAAATTTAAATATATTTTAAAAAATTTTCACAGCCCAACTACGGGCTTTGGGCCGGGCCTACTTTTGAAGATCTCTAATTTATAGACTTTAATATTAATTATAATAATATTCAAATTTGCCCAATAGTTTTTTTTATAGAAATTTCCAAAGAGGGGAAAAAATAGCTAAATAGGGGAAATTTTAAGATATCGACATTTTTTAAAAAATAAACCTACCTATAAAAGCGCATGTCTTTCTATTATTCTATCACAAAATTATTATTTATTATGATATGTAGAATTACAAACCTATCAATAATTATGGGATGCCTGGATTTAATTGAATATTGTAAGGCGCGGTTTTTATCATCACTGCAACAGTGTATCGGTGTTACATTATAATACTGATAATCCTTCGAATCTAAACTATTTGGGGCTTTGATTTCATCGCTAGCTGGATTCGACAAATAAAGGCCCTCATTCCATGTCCAGGCCTCTTCGTAAGGATGTTTTTCGCATTCGAATAACAATAGCGTTTTCAATAAATAGGCCGTGATGGGTCTGCCAGGAATCTTATCCAAGTGCCTATCCCTCAAGGTTTTCAAAATTCGATAACAAATCCTTCTGCAGCCCCCGTTCAATAAAACGTCCTCTGCCTCAGTGAAAACCATGAGCCAAGTGTCGCCTTCTATGGCCGAAGGATTGTTGAAAGCGCTAGCTTGATTAGTGGGTGATGGTGCTACTTTACCAGTGCCTGGTTTAGTCTTTGAAAGGTAAACAGATGTGTCATTATTGTTTAAATTGTCTGAATTTTTTAGGATTTTACTAAATTGAATATTTTGATCAATGTCGTCGTCATTAAGAGTTTCGTCGATATCCTCAGTATGTGAAACTTGAAAGTGTGATGGAAAATAAGGCTCCCTTGACACGAGTGTAAACCCTTGAGATTTAGCGCGAGTTATCAAATTATGATGGGGCCAGGTCTGGGATGGACAATTTACACAACGGCTGTTGTTAATTTCTTTGCATATCAATTGTTCGTCCATGCGAAAATTTGAAACCATGGCCGGATTTTTATTATAATTGTGTGAAAAATTATTAGTATTTCTATTTGGAGGGATTTGATGTGAAAAGTTGTTGCAATTTTTAGTTCCGCATGAAGAGGTGGCAGGCCATGAATTGGCGCTACGAGGCCACATACCTTGGCATTTGAAAGCCGGCACGATCGTGATTAAATATTTGTTCCATAGAGATATCGTGACATCGGCATTAGCCCTATTATTGTTCTCCTGTTTGTTTTTGCCAAGTATGTCTTCTAAACCTTTGGGTGTTTTTGCTTTATTGTTAGCATTCAGAGGATAACCGGTATAGGTATCAGAGGCACGATTTTTTTCCTGAACGAAATTAATGCCATCGTCTTCAAATTTTGTCAAAATCTTTATCATTTTAGAGTCACCTGACGTCTTAAAATGATTGCTAGCCCGATAATAATTTTTAGAAGATTCAAAACCATAATTATTATCGTGATAACCTTCCCAATTTCCTCGGTACCCTTCGTAGATGTTATCCTTTGACTTCCAAGTTCCATTATCATCAGAGATATATCTTTGATAGAACTTGAGACTCTCTTTGGAGGTGCTATTATAGTATAACTGACCCTCATCCATCATACCATCGTAGGCCTTGCTAAAATCATGGTAGGATTTGTTCTTGTATTTACTCTCTACCTTATCGCAAGCTTCAACTAAAAGAGAATGAAATCGGGCCCTTATTTTGCGGGCTGATAAATAACCAGAGGCTGTTATAAATTCGACCCAGAGAGACATCGAACGTTTTCGCCCATCAGAAAGCTTCAAAACTGAACATCCTGGACTGCTGCCATCGTCAACGAAATTAAATACCCCCATTTGATTGAGAAAAAGGTTCACCTCAAATCTAAGGCCGCCTGAACCTTCGTAACTGTCAATTAGATCGCTTGTTGCAGTAGCTAAAGTCTGGTCTTTTAAATTATTATGATGATTAGATCCTTGGAAATTTAAATTATTATTAATGTCGTGTGAATAATTTTGATTAAGTAACACACCACCCACTACTGTTAGACCATCAAACCTTCCGGTTTGAGAATTGGCGTTAAGCGAGGATATGAACCTGGGTTCTTGGATCTCTATTTCTTTTAGGATATCTTGAATGACGGGGTTAATCTCAGATATGGCTTTCTCTATCGCCCTTTTCCGGTCGGCCACTCTGCTAGAGCAAAATTTAAGTATTTGCTTCGAGATACAATCAACGTTACCTTTTTTTATAAAAAAAATATTAATATAAAAATAAAAAAACAAGTCGGTATTAAAAAAAAATAATTTCGGATCAAATTTATACCAGTGAATGATGGTGGGTCAGTAGATAATGATTGTTGTGCAACTTTATGATAATTTTCGACCAAGTTCAGAAATGCGGATCTTTCGGCTTTAGGCGAAGAGAGTTGATTAAAAGAATAAATTTCATTATTATTTTCTGTAGACACCTTATAGTAATTCTCGATGGAGCTTAGGCTATATCCTTCCATTTTAAGAAAACATAATACTAATATTTAACATATCAAAATCAATATAAAGAAATAAAAATAAATAAAATAAAATGAAATAAATGAAGACGTCAATCATAATTAATTTCTCTATTATTTTTTTGTTACAAAATATGAAAGCTTTGTGTAAAATTAACATACAAATTACATCACGGAAGTTAAAATTTATATAATAGTAATAGGGTGCTTGACAAACTTATAGGAATTATGAAACACTTTATACTCGTTTTATATATCCATAAATTTTGCTGCTCGCGAAATCTAATTAAAAATTGTTTTAGAAAAATACATATTTAATATTCGACTAATTTTTTAATTTTAATTTCATATCATTTTTATGAAATAGAGTAACCGGAAAATTACAAACTAAATAATGTTACTTATATTTCTTTTTTTTAAACTTTGCAGAAAGCAATTGTCGATATACATAGACTTTAGACTGGGGAATTTGGTAGAATACATTGAATAAAGAAATAACAAAATTATTATATTTTGAAAACCATAAATGGCACAAATTTTTAAAAATAATTTTAGCATTTATTTCAACTCAAATGACGTCTAGTCTAAATTATAACTAAGACAGTTAGTAGAAATCATTGGCGAGTCTTGAAAATTGTTTCTTTTTTAAACTTTTGAATTCGACTGAAGCCCTCAGTAGGCTCGGCTCGGACCCTGATTTAAAAAATTTTATTCGGTAAAATTTTTAATTATAAATATTTTCCCCACTCTTTTTCTCTTAAAAAAACTTAAAGTTAAAATAATTTTTTTTTTAATTTATAGTTAAATGTGGTGTTATTAAACAGCTCAATTTGAGCCGATTTTTAAAAACGTCTAACTAATAGCCAGAAAAATATTGACTAAGCCTCGAGATTTATGTTCATCTATGACCAAAATCTTACGTAATATTTTTCTGGATAAATATTGAGTTCGCCTTTTTTTTAAATCGGTTCCAACCGACTATTTTAATGGCTACTCAATAAAACCACCTACCTCAAATTTTTTTTTAAACTTTATAAACTTTAGCCTATAAGAATATGACAAATTAGAGAATATTCGGCATATAATATTATTTTATAATCATATTAGTGATACTAAATTAATTTAGATTAATAAATTGGTTGTTAAGTATTTTTAATTATAAATTTATATAATTGCATAAAAAAATTGTAAAATATTTTTAAAAAAACTTAAAAAGGATAACAACCTAATTTACTATATTAAATGACAAATTATTAAATAAGGAAGTTTGGCTGTTTTATATCCTTTATTTATTTTTTATATTTACATTAAAATGGTGGATTTAATATAAACCCGTCATGGCATTCCCTTCAATTTGCAAAAAAATAAAATTTTAAAAATGTTCTATCGATTTGATTTATATTACCACATTTTAAAATGATAACTCAATTATATAGATTTATATCATCTTATTTATAACAAAATAAAAGATAGCAAATTCTCAATTTTCAAACTAATATGTCATATTCAATTATAGTTATAATGGGTTAGTTATTATATTATACTAAATGCGCTAAACAATGTCTTAAAATGACAGCCTTTTAAGTGAAATATGAAACCCTTTATTTAAATAAAAATTAATAGTGAAAAATATTATATCATCATTAAAGGTCTCGACCTCGTGTTATTAAAATAGTTAGTGTGGTTACATTATAAACTTCACTGAAAATAATCGAGTTTGCGAGGTTCTGACATGATTTTCTTAGTTTTAATCTATAAACGTTATTTTGTTAAAATAAAAAATATTATTTTGCAATCAAATCCATTTAAATTTAAAGAAAAATCAAGGAAATTGAATTTAATACAATAAACTTTCATAAAAATACCTAAGTATAAAATTATTTATATATTCCTGAGAAAAAATTACATATAATATATTTTATTTTTAAAATATAACATCATGATTTTATTTTCTTATCCATTCTATTTAAAAAAAAATAATATTAAGCTTAGCCAACCACATTAGGATCATCTTGTTTTAGTTGTTTTACCTATTATTTAAGAAAAATTAGCTTCATTCCAATCAACTAAATTTTCGCGATCGATAACTCATATATTTTAAGGTAATCCATGATCAAGAATGGGAAAAAAAAGAAACAATTTAGCAATACATGCCACCATCCATTATAAAAGAAAGGTTCCTTGATTGTCCTATTTGGATGACAGGGATGTCAATTTAACCCTGATAGAACTGGGTTAGGATTCATAAAAATATTTATATGCTGATAAAAGGGAATGTTTTTACCAAACATAATTAAGTTTAGTTTCTAAGCTTTTATATATTATTTAATATATTTTTAGTTATATTTAATTATATTTAATTTAATCTGGTTTTCAAACGGGTCCTAAAATAAAATAATGGATATGCCATTGTTTATGAGCAAGTAATTTTCTTTATATCTAAAAAATTAGTCTAGGCAAAAATTGGATATAAGAAGTTTTTAAATCTCATATTTGAATTAGACAGTAAATGATCATATTTGAGACTTAAAATTTATTACAGATAATTTATTTCTAAAATAATATTTAATCACAATTCATTTTCTATAAAATCATTCTTTAAAATATCCTTCAACATTAAATTATTCTCTATAAAATAATTCTCTGTAAATTAATTCGATATAAATAATTTTTCTATAATCGAGATTCTCTATAAGGCATTCTATAATTGTTTTCCTTATAAAATAAATTCTATACTCTATTAGCGATATTTACTGTAAAGTCATTCTCTGTAAATTAGATCTCTATAATTGTTTTCTCTATAAAATAAATTCTCCTACAAACGAGATTCTCTACAAACAACTTTTCTCTCATTGTTTTCTCTATAATTGCATTCACTATAAAGGTTTCTCTGTAAAGTTGGGATTAGGGCTGTGAACCAATATTAAAAACCTAAGATAAACGAAATATTCTATTGATAGTGCTATTGGGTCTAAAATGGTATTGGTTTAAATAATATTTTCTATTTCTTGTGTTGGTAATGCTATTGGTATTGGTTTAAATACAAATTACTAATTAAAAGAATAGAGATAGTGATTTTAAAAAAAAACCCGTAATTTCTAGTTTTAAATAAACATGGAAAAAAAATTATGAAGCATTACCATAAAAACAGGGCTGAGAACCAACTCTTAAAAATTTATTGAATCCAAATTTTTACTAGGAATTTATTCGGTGATGTGAATATAAAAAATTTTGATTTAATCATAAATTTTTTGTATCAACAAACCTACAACTAATCAAATAATAAACATATTGATTTTGAAACCTTTTATTTTGCAGCAAAAATATAGCAAAAAATTTTTAGCAAAATGAGTACACCAAAATATAAAATAACTCTATTTATATAAAATACAGTGCAAAAGATTGATATAAATTTAATATAAGGGAAAATAATTTTATGTCTTTTAGAAGGATCCTGCAGACGCATCCAACTTTTTAGGCAAACTTGGATAGTATGTTAATCTAATGAACAACGTTGGTCCGTTATAACATACCATCCTTCTGAAAACGCCCTTTCAGAGCTAGCTGAAATTGCAAGATAATCTCTGGCAATTTTCGATAATATTGGATATCAATTTTGATTTAATTTCTACCAGTTTATTGGATTTTTATTATTAGAAAATGTGACTTCATTCATATATTTGTTTGTTTCTAAGCTATTATTGTTATGACTATGTATGACTTGATATATTTTATAATAAGGGTACAATTTTTTGGGTTTATTTTCTGTTTCATTTATATGTTCAGCTTAATTGAATTATTTATTTTATAAATATTATATTCTTCGGTTAGGTATCCAATGAGAGTGTTTATACTATTATCCTTTAATAGGTAACTTGATATTTTAAACCGTAGGTCAATCATTGTTGATATAATATATGCAGATGTTTATTAAAATTATAGTTTTATCTTGCTAAGGTAGCTAAAGAAGCCCTCTTTAAAATAGTATTAGGAATATTATTGTAACTCTCAACATTCTCAAAAATTATAAAGGAATGATAGTTGATACTGATGGAGTGTTTGTACATGTGGCCATCCCCGTAGCGAAACTAAATGGTTCCAGAAATTCTCGTATATTCTATATTATTCCAGGCTAAGGAACTAATATATTTTTCTTCATTGATATTTTGTAAATGATTGGTATATGTTGTCAAATGAGGTTTGAGCAATATTGCCCTTTCAAGCATTTGGTATGTTGAATTCCAACGTGTTGGTATATTCAAAATTTGATGAGGAAATTTTAAGGTTGGATTTTTTCAAGAAATATTTTGTTTACTAAATTTAAATATAGAAATTTTAATAAATTTTCTTATTTTTTTAAAGCTTTATTTAATGGTTCCAAGGCGGCCATAACAGCCTGATGTATAATATGGCAAGAGCATTTGCACACATTATTTAAATTGAAATTATTTTTTTTGATTTAAAATTTTTAGAAATGTGAAATTATTACTTGCATTGTCTAATGTCATACAAAATAAATCAATTTCAAATTTTACTTTTAACAGAATTAAAAATATTATAAATATTAATAGAATTTTTGCTGATTGAAAAGGAATTAAATATAATAAATGATTATTTAATTTAAAATCATTATCAATGTAATGGATAGTTATGCCCTAAAGGGTTTTATTTGGAGAGGACCATATGTCCATTGTTAAGGAAAAGATGTAATGTTAGAAAGTACAGATTTTAGATTGTTAAAAGAGCCATGATAATATTCATAATTTCTATTTTTAGTGTTTTTCTAGAAACTAATGTTAGTAAAGGGTTACAATATGCTATTAAATTTTTAAAAGTGATATCCTTAACCTTTGAAAAGGCTAAGTTATTTTGAATAAAAAAATCTATAATTAAATGATTTAAATTAATTTTATTATTTATATTATTAACTAAAAATGATTTTATTGTATTATTTGTTTGTTCACATTTCCTATATAATGTTGGGTGGATGGATTTAAGATGTG